ATTAATATGTATTATGAAGATTAAAATAGAATTGGAATTTTTCTGTTTAATATTAATGAAAATTATTTGAATTGAATAATTAATTTGTAGAATAATAAGAAATTCTTTAAAACAATAGAATTTTGAAAAAGAATTTAAAGAAGATAATTAATTTTAATTGATATATATGAAAAGTGTGAAATATGTGTGTAATAAATAGCATTAGAATGCATATATTTCACAATTAGAAGTAAGATGAAGCCTGATGTAACATGATATTGATTAAATTCCTTTGTACATACAGAATAATTAAGGAATATAATGGCGTATGTGTACAGTGTGTACAGAAGCATGGATGAGAAAGGTTTAATGATTTTAATAGAGAAAGTGTTTTACAAGTGTTTTATGAAACTTATAGATATTATATATATTATTTTTTTTTTCAATTCACTTTCAAAAGAAAAACAATTCAAATATTGTTATTAAAAATTTTAGAAGATGATAATCTTTATTTTTCTTGAAGAATTTTTTTATTAGATGAAAAAAAAAGAGTATCATTTTATTAAAAAAATAGAAACAATTCCTATAACAATGCAATTATTAGTAATTATTGGATACCATAAATTTCCATCTCCATATGTATATGAACAAAATTATTAGTAATAAAATGATTATTTGAATTCTACTTAATATGAATTGAATTCCTATTATCAAAACATTAAATATTTTTTTTAATCTTTGATTAAAAAAAATACTATTATTGTTTGTTTCCAAAATTTCTAATATTTAATTGTTATGCATTTTAGAAAAAATATTTCATCAAGTCTTTTGATATGAACATTATATTATGACTCTGTTTTTCACATAAACGCAGCTCCATTGCATGGTGCAATGGTGAACTACAAATGTTTATGCAAAATAAAATTTTTACGAATATGATTAAAAAAAAATAAAGCTTAAATATATAGATATGTTTTATTTTCATGAGTTATACATTCAAATTTTGCATAAGCATTCGCATCAGTGTTTCAACTAAAGTAAGTAGTAATAGGTAGTACTGGACTGCAGTAAATACGTTATAGTACTATAAAAAAATAGAGAAGAAAAGAATGGAGATTCTCTCTGCAGTGGACAGACACGGAAATGCCATTGAGTTGCACGAAAGCAAGAATATTAATGCGTTTATAAATAAACCAGAGGAAACAAGCTGGTGATGCGTGTGTGTACTTACTTCTCGTCGTCGCTATCGCTCGGCCGACGATCCACCAGAGGCACGCGCCTTAGTTCCGCTTCGCCTAGCCACCCGTGGGCCAGATACTGCTCGTTTTCGTGTATTTCGAGAACACACGGCCGCGCACGAGCCTCGTTCCAATATTTCTCGTTTTGGAACGCAAGACGGTGAATCAAATAAATGAAGATTTCAATTGATAGGGAGGATGAGTGAGGGATGATAGTTTAAGAGGGTAAAAGGAAGAAAATAGTGAGGAAGTGGGGAGAGAGTGTAGAATGGAATAGTTAGTATTTGAGAAAAAGAAGGAAATAGAGAGAAGTGAGAATGGGATAATAGTTTGAGAAATTGGATGGTAAAATTTGAAGATGTGGAGAATGAGATGTGAAAGTGAAGATATGAAAGAAGAGAAGAGAGAGAAGAAAGGAGGAATAAAAAGGATAAATGATTTGGAGAATGGAATGAGGAATGAAAATAAAAATGGTGATTTATAAGAGAGGAAGAAAAGAAAATAGAGAGTGGAAAGGAGAGATATATTTAATGGAAAATATAATATATATCATTCATTGTAAGAATGAATATAAAAATAGAAAGCTATGGGAATAAAATAGAAAAGTTATAGAAAAATTAATTCTTAAAAGAAACTAAAAGTAGAATAATAATTGAAAAAATTTTGAAGGATCAATAAAATTTAAAATTGAAAGTTCAATTGATATATAATTTCATGAGGATATTGATTTCTATTGCAAAGATTGAAAAAGAATTGAAGAAGTTTAAAAGCATAAGAGAAAGTTTGCTAAAAGAGGTTTGTATTTGAAGAGAATTTGTGCTTGGAAAATAGAAAATTGGAAAGTGTTTTTATGAAAATAAAAGTATCTTCAAAGAAGATACTAAAAAAAACTGCTAACTAAAGTGGAAAAAGTGTTGAAACAGAAGTTGAAAGAATAAGGAATAGAGAATATCTTGAACACAGAAATTGTAAAAGTTTGATCAAAAAATGCTGAATTAAATTAACAACATTTTATGGAAAATCAAATGTAAAAAGCTCAATTTTTAACAATTTTAACAATCAAGTAAAAATTCTTATGAAAGAAGATGAATAAAACTTACAAAATTTAAATAAAATTTCAAGTTTGAACGAATTAAAATCAAGAAACAATTTTAACAATTTCAATAAAATGATCTGTTTAAAAAGTGTTTAGTGAGTGATGTGTCTGAAATATGTCAAAAAAAGAAAATTTTTGAACTTAATTTCTTTTATTCTCGTTAATATATAAAATTTTATCACGAAAAAAAAATTGTAAAATATTTTGTTTCATTCATTAATTCGTTGTTTAATTAAAATAATATGTAAATATTGAAATCATTAAAAATGATATGAAAATTATAAATGAACAAGATTAGTTCGAAATGATCGATGGAATATTATTAATGGAATTAGTCCAGAATGATCGATGGGATATTATTAATGGAATTAATCCGGAATATTTGTCAAATTCAACGTTTTATTTTTTTTATTTATTTTATTTATTGATTTCAATGTTTAATAACATTTTATTCTCTTTGCACTCTTATCCCGAAAATTATCATCGATTATAAATATTTCAATTTTTTCCTTTCTTTATTTCATAGATATTTCCTTAAGATTGAGTTAATATCTTACATTAATGTGTAAATAATAATTATTATAAAAATCTTAACCGTGAAACCGTAACAAATATTTATAGATTCCAGAAAATGAAGTTTTCAAAGGAAGCCTGGTTTTCTCACGATTTTGTTTCCGTTCGTTGAAATAATATATCGATCGAGGTAATTGGAGAATCGAAACTCTATGACTGATACTTTCACGGTTGCTTATTCAAACACTATTGAATATTTAATATTTTTGTCAAATTAAATAATTTGAGATTTATAAAAATGTAAACTTTCTTATTAATGTTGGATACATTGTTTTTTTTTCTAAATTTTTATTTCTCGATTTAAAAGCGAAATGTGAAAGATCAAAAAATTTAGAAATTTGGCATAAACGCGATAATTTATTTATTTTAGGCGTTTCTATTTCATTTTATAGATCTTTTGAAGCGAAACAGATTTTATCTCGTTTAATAAGCAATCTGATGACAACTATATCCTTGAACTTATCGATAAAATTACCAATATGTTATCATAATTAACTCTGAAATAAAATGAAAATTTATTAAAATATTTTTTTAAAAAAATGCATAACTATTATTTTATTGTCAACGTAGCATAATTTCTTAAATTAGTTAGAAATTTATTATAAAATAATCTTGAAAAAAAAAATAGAAAAGAGTAATATAAAGGAAAAAATAATATCATGATGCATGTCAGATAATTATAACACGAGTTTTTTTTTTTTAACATGATCGCTTACGCCTGATAGAAAGGAACGCGTATTATCAAGTCGTCACTTAATCACTGACGAGAGTATATTTACTTGTGTTACGCACGCTTCTCTAATCAAAGCGACGCACTCGTTCGAGGTTATCACTAATGGCCGTCATGTGGGGTCAAGTTCGAGATATATGAATGAGAGAGAATGGATTTTACCGACATGCTAATAAATTAAAATCATTGATCGAGATAATACTTTCTTTATAGTGATATCCATAAAAATATCTTTAAAATGTACTTACATACACACATATATGTTCTTACAAGTAATAATTTTATCTTTTTCGTTATAAATTTACAATAAAATACGAAAGATTATTTCTTAACAAAAAAACTTTGTAACGATACCTGTAACGAAAGATAAATAATATTTCTTGATTACAATAACTAAAAAAGATTGCCGCTGAAGAATTGAAAGAAATATATTGCAATATTTATTCCAATATATCTCTTGAAAAACCATATCTTTTCAAAACAAATAAAAAAATTAAAGAAAAATAAGAAAAGTTATAAAACGAAGAAAGAATACATAAATAAATTATACTTCGTTTTACAATTATTTCGAAATAACCATTCATGCAACCCACGCAGAAAAAGAAATCTCGAAATGTCTCGAAGATTTACAGATTCGAGATTAATTCCTCGAATGAAACGAGAGTGCGTTGCGAGCGCTGCTGCGTCGTCGATCGTATACACGTTACAGAGCAAATAAACTCTCGTGTAGCTCTGTTAACGACACGGGTTTGTAATAGTTTCTAAAGCAAGAGCAAGATTTATCGGGGAGTTTGCCAGTTGTCTGGTCCATACCGGTCGGCCGCTTGTTTATAAATGGAATCGTCCGGGTATGCTACACACGTAAATATCGATTCTTTAGCGGCGCTTTTGTATTCGAAATAAATTTTTCTAGATCGTTTATTGTTATCTACGAGATGTGATTCAAGTTATTTCGCGCATAAGAATTAGATACTTTCGAGAATAATAAAGATGATTGGTTCAATGGACAGAATTTACAAAATTGGAAACAAACCTTTCTACTACTACAGGTACTATGTAGAGAAGTGAGAATAAACTTGCTATCTGACATGAAGGAAAAATGAACGTAGAATTTTTATTAGATTGTTCTTTGTTTGTGATTTGAATGATAATAAACTCGATATTTGAATTTTAAATATTGAATTAAATAGAATCTTTTTCGCATCGTGATAGACATAATATGATATCTAAACCCTTAAGATATATTTAAATAATAATTCAAATTATAAATTATAAAATTATGAATTTTTTATATATTCTAAATATTAAATGTTCATCAATCATGACGCACAGATGAATCTCATTATCATTCGCGTACTTATAATAATAAAGTAATCATAAATTAAATATAATCCAACAAAATAAAATAAGAGTGCAAAAAGAAATTATATAATACATACCATATAACGCAGGACAAAAGAATGAACTCTTCATGGACATCGTAACTTTTATCGTGATATACATTTGGTGTATTTTCTGTTAAAAAAAATAAATCTATAAAGAGTAAATCTCGATCAAAATACAATACGTGTCGACAATGTTAAAGAATTCGATGAAGCAAACGAACTCTGACGCACCAGTGTCGCCTAGTTCCGGTCCAGCCAATCCTTCCGGCGTGGAGACCACACCGAAGCCCAGGAAGAAATTATCATTCAAGGAGCCTGAAATATTCAATTACCTAAAGTTGAAGAAACCTTTTCGAAAAATGAAACTGCCTTCCCTTCAACTAACACACTCGATATCGGCCGTCGATTTTAGCTTCGATGAGAACCCTTTCGAAGAAGAGAACGATGACCTCAAGGAGCTCGAGGTAAAGGTGTACGCTTACGAATAACGCTGTTTATGGGGTAAAGTTGTCTCCTGTACCTGAAAAAAAAAAAAAAATAAAGAAGAATCGCTCCGGGGACGATGAATAATTGCGGTGGAATAAATTATAGGATGTCCTAACCGTTATTTACGGGTCTTTTAGTTTCTTTTCCTCCTTTTTTTCTTCGATTGATTTTTTCTTATTGGTAGGAATTTTGATGAAAATTCAGATAAAAAGAATTTGAAAAGTTCTGTATTGGAATATAAATGAGGATTCGAATTAATTAGAAATTTATAGCGATTGAATATTTTATCTGGTTTAAAAATTAAAAGGAGTTTAAATATAAGAGTTAAAATTTGTATGTATTCGAAATTTAATTTTAAAATTGAAAAATTTGAAAGTTTGAAATTTAAAAAATTCAAAAAATCTGAAATACAATTAAAAAATTCAACATACTTTGTACAGAATTTTTATCTTTCAGTGTTTGAAATTTGTGATGTCAGTTAAGTACTTACAAACAATATCACCCTAATTTTTGCATGTTGTACCACCTCTAAATATTACTTGTACTTATTTTGTACGTTCAATGAAAAAGTTGGATTTCGTTAGAGTCAAGCGATGAGGGTGGTCAGAACAGTAGGACAAGCTTTCGAGGTGTGCCATAAATTAAGTTTAAACAACGCCACGGAGGAGCGGGATCGGGGAGAGAAGGAAAGGGAGAGGGAGCATGGTGAGAATCACCGTGACGTTTACGAAGATCAAGATGAAATACCCAATGTACAATCACAACCATCACCGTCTTCTGTCCATAAAGGTAAGTTTAACATCTTAATTTCTTTGGAATTATTATAAACAATTTATTTCAAATTAAACGAGAAATTTTTTATTTCTCTTCATTAACCACTCTCAATATGTTTAATACTTTTTAAAATAATAATAATAATATTATAAATTATAAAATTAAAAGATCCTTTCAAACTAAACATTTTTTCTTTTTAATTATTTTAATTATAATGTATATGAATGAATGAAGAAAATCAATACACTGTATATGTATGTATATTTTAGATATATCACTCTTAGGGGATACAGAAGATTCGGCACCAGAACAAACAACTGTTCCATGTCTTCTGCGGTCGCATGAAGTTCCAGCAACTACAGCGTCTACCTCGCCGATTAGACAATCGCCATCGGTATAATCATTATAGATTATTGAAAATATACTATTTTATTTTAACATTCTCTTTTAAGATATATTGAACATTTATAAATATTTAATTAATCTTACATGTAGGGCACGGTGACCTCCGATTGCGGAGGATTATTGGTTGGTGGCGAATTAACTGCTCTGAAACACGAGATTCAACTGTTACGAGAACGCTTAGAGCAACAAAGCCAACAAACCAGAGCCGCTGTTGCCCATGCGCGACTTCTTCAGGATCAGCTTGCTGCTGAAACTGCAGCTCGCGTCGAAGCTCAAGTAAGTGAAATGTGTTGTATAGTAGGATGTATAATATATATGCATATAATATGCATATTATATTATATTATAGATACATATTATGCACATGCTTCTAATATTTTAATTAAACATTGAGGTTACATATGAAATTTTAATTGATTTGATTTCTAGCTTTATTACAATTAATATCACAACATTCTATTATGTAAATTTATTATAGATAAAGTATATTTGAATGCAAATTTTTCAATTGTAGATAAATGAAATCAGAGATATTGAATTTACAAATTAAAGATCTTATTATATTATTATTCATATAAGTAAAATATGTTGTTATTAATTGTATCAGAAAATTATGCATTCAATTTTTTTTTGGGATGTTATATATATAATTTAATATTTAAAAATATTAAATTATAGATGTTAGTGTAAATAATCAATACTAATGAATATTATTGCATTTTACTTAATATTATTATATATTGATATATTGATCATTGAAGGATAATTGAATATTTTTAGATTTAAAAAAAATAAAAATAAATTAGACAGATATTTGTAAATATTCATTTGCTTGCATAATAATGATAAAACTTGATCTGTAATTGATGATGAATATTAACATATATTTAAATAGATACTATATTAACAAATATTACTCAAATTTGACAAGAATAAATTTGAATAAATACTAGAAGATATATACTATAATATACTACTGCTAGTATTAGATTTTATTTAAATTTTAGATATATATTGCAATAACATTTCATTGTTAATAGATAAATTTAAAAAAACATTGAAAACCGAATGATATTAAATGTATATCATGTTTTATTTTCTGTTCTTTTTGCAGGCTAGAACGCACCAATTATTAATGCAAAATAAAGAGCTTCTAGAGCATATAAGTGCGTTGGTTGGCCATCTTCGAGAACAAGAACGAATCTCGAGTGGCCACGTAACCTCACAATCTCAGTTACCAGGCACGGCGACAATACAACAGACTACTACTGTTCCTGATCTGTCGAATCTCGGCCAGGTAACACTCTACCGAATACCATGAATGTTGACATGACTATTCAACAACCAGCAAGCGAACGTTGCATTTCAATTAACGTTTAGCATTATATTTTGTATTTTTTTTGTTTTTCTTTCTTTTTTTCTTTTTTTTATACTGTAACATTTTTTGTACTGACGCATTTTTTTTTAAATGAACTTCTTAATAAAACAATTTATGCATATATTTCTGTTTTGCACCTTGTCATTAAAGAATAAGATGTAAAAAGATTTGAATTTGAATCAAAAGATATACATTTCAAATATCTTAGATTATTCAAATATAAAATAGAGAATGCATTTTTTTTTTAATGTTTTGGATATTAAAATTGTGATTGTTCTTTCTTTTTGTCTATACAATTTCATTATGTTCTATCATTCTAGTTTTTGAATAAGACCTAAATGTATGCTCAAAAGTATTTGCTTATTTAAATTAAATATCTTAATATTATTTTTTTTTGCATGAATAATTCATAATTATATTTTTTAAAATATTGTTTTGCGTTTATGTTAATGTTTTTAATGTGATTAAGATACATAAATAGTGTTCATTTATTTAATTGCGAATTTGAAATCAAAATCTGGATATCTGTTTTATATTATTTATATTAAAAAATATCATTTTTAAATAATACAAATATAAATTGCTAAAATTATAATTCAACAAAATTTATCATTAAAGTATGTCATATTTATAAATATCTAGAATAAAAATTAAATGCTCAAATTTACTATTTGTATTTTGTGGGAGACAAATATTAGGTTTATAATGGACTTAAAAAATATTTCATAAGGAACTTTTTAATCCTTTTAAGGAAACTGTATGAGCGGTTAGACTTTGAAATACGTGAAAACAATATTGCTTATGAACGAGCGCGATTCGTTCTATATTGCTCGACTGGAAGATAGCAATTTAATGCTGACATTAAAGCTAAATCGCTAATCCAATAATTATGCTAAGCGTCGGTGTGATGATGTTATGTAACAGGTCTTCGCACGGGATTTTGGACTTTGTGCTACCAACAAATGCTAGGTAATATTATCAATTTTTGATTCTTTACAAAGTATGCATCAGAATTTAAAAAAAGAAAAATATAATTTCAGGTAAAAATTATTCTTTCTTAATATTTGAAATTAAAAATATTTATTTTATTAAATTAATGAAAAATTAAAATATTAAGAAATTAATGAAATTTTTCAATATATAAAATCAATCAATATAATTTTAATCATTTCCACTTTTAAATATTTTTTAAAATAACATTCTAATATTGTTATTTCTCAAATAGTACCAACGAACAGGAGGACAAAATTCACCATGGGAATTGGATCCACCATCCCCATATTGCTCTTATCCGACAGATTCTTTATCTTACCCTGGAAACCTAAGTACAATTGGAATACAAGGGAACAGCAATACAGATCAATTACAGTTTCAAGCCCAACTTTTAGAAAGATTACACAACATAAGTCCATATCAACCTCAAAGATCACCTTATAATACACCATCTCCTTACACGATGGGTCCTAGTCTTCTTGTCCCACCTAATAATATACCAACTGTAAGTGAATTTTAATAAATGAATATCAAAATCACTAGAATTTTTTAATATAATATATATAATTGATACAATTTTTTCTATTTATAGAATTCAGTCCAATTGTCTCCAAACTCCATGTCATTAAGAGTTTCTCAATCAAACAGTTTTTCATCATCGCCCATAATGACGCACAAGTTAGATAATTATATAGGAAACACAGAAAATACGGAATTTAAGTCAACATTTATAAAACCTATACCCTGTACAAGTGAAAGGAATGTCAATCATGAGACAGTGGGTAAACAGGATCAAAATAACTTACATGAAGAAGTACCACCAATTGTGCTAGATCCTCCACCTCAGGGTAAACGTTTAGAAACAACACCTAAACACATGCCAACTAAAGAAAATTTGAATGATCAAATATCAAGTAAGAATGTACAAAAACAGAAAAACTTAGCAACCATTCTGAGAACAACTGGTCCACCACCGTCTCGTACAACTAGTGCTCGTTTACCTTCAAGAAATGATCTTATGTCCGAAGTACAGAGAACTACCTGGGCAAGACATACGACCAAATGATGAATTTTTTTCAAAATAGTTTTTGTTACTGTTCACTAAATATATTTTTTTTTGAATAGAATATTCTTTCTAATGGAAAAAAAATATTTTTTCTTTAATTTTTTTGAAGTAAAAATTAATTTGGATGTATAAAATTTGGAACTGATTGATTGGAAATTGTATAATAGATTACTTACACATTTTGTACCGTTTTTATTATACTCTTCTTAAACTTAATTATTATAATTATTTCTAAATTTTAAATATAACAAAAATGTTATATTCATATATAAAAGTTCTACTCTTTCTTGTAATGTAAATGAAATAGAAAATAAAAATTTAGTTCTTGATGTAATAAAGAAATCCAAAAGATTATTCACAATTTTGAATTGATAAAGAAAATACATTAATAAATTGAATATTAAAATTAAATAAAAGATTAAAAAAGAAAAATATAAATTTAGTTTTATCTTTTATATTAAGCTTTTATATAAAACTAACCAAAAGCGTAGAACTTATAAAGATAAAGAATTTATTTGCAATAACAAACAAATAAATTGAACATATGATAAATGATGAATGTACATAAAATGTTGTACATACGTTTCAATTCCAATCATTTTATACTGTACTATAAAAAGTAAAATGATTTAGATATGGACTGTGTTTAAAATTTGTTAAATTATATTTAACAAATTTCTTAAAAAATAAATTTTTTTTTGTATCATGTAATTTCAATATTATATAATTAAATTTTCACAAAAAAGTTATGAATATGAAAAAAAAAAGACAATACATATCTTAAATTCAAAGAAACACAAATATAAATTTCTTTTGTGTGTAAGTAGAGAGCTTTAATATATCAAAATTATTTAATTAAATTAAACAGTTTGTGTAACGGCGAAAACATTAATGTCATTTATTATGAATAATTAATGAATAAAATATTCTATGAAAAATAAAAGCACTGAATTAATTTTCATATTCAATATAATATAAACTTAATTATTTTTATAAGAAATCACATTTTACACTGCTATGCTCATAATAACAATTCAGACAGGTTTTGAAATATCAATTGTCCAAAAAATTAGAATTTATTTGATATGCTCTCCACAATTTAGAGCAAAAGATGTAAGAATTATATTTAATCATAGGCAGAAAAAGAAAAAATATCTTACGGGATTTGTACTTATTTTAATGATTATATATATATATATATATATATATATATATTATACTATTATCTATTAATTATTATAATTATTTATTAAAACAAAAAATTCCTATTACTACACAAATTATGAGTATTACGTTATATAATTATAGATTATGAATAAGTTAACTGATTATATATCATTTTCACAAAAATCAAATGAAAAATATTCTAATAACATAATAAATATTAATAACTACATAAAAAAATAATCGCGAGCGCAGCCAATTAGCTCATATTATTTGTTATAAAATTTACAATTATACCATAAATATGATTATGAATTTTACAGCAAATAATAATGATTTTCCAGGTCTCACCGCGTGGAGGTTGCTGCGAATTGGAGACCCACCCTATCCACGATCCCATCCATCCTCCTTTACGCAAAAATATTTATTTAAAAACAAAGATAAAGCTTCCTTTTGATGTAGATTTGCAAAACGTTCCATTTTTAGTCGCTGTGCAAAACAAACAGCAAAAGGAATTCTAAGGAAAACCGACGCGACAAGCTAAACCTGAAAGTAAAAATTAATTTATATTTTGATAATACATAATTCTA